TTTGAGACGCTTTTTCGTATGGGAGCGATTCCCTGGAGGGAAGGGTGACCAGCCGCAACCCTAGACACCCGTCCCCGATCATAGTGAGGCTTTCGGAGGTTTTGCTTTACTTGATTTTCATTGATTTTGCCCCGGTTTCTTCTTTTTCATTTGCCCACAAGTTCCGTTTTCAATCATCATCAGCGAGATGCAGTGAGGCGAACTTCACGGATTGCTGCCAAGCTCACAGTGTACATAAATCAAGTGATAAAGCACAAGATGGAGAGGAATTGGGCCTACTTGGAGGGAGGCAAAGAAAAAGAACCTATATGTTCAACACACAGAGCACACAATCTAAGTGTGCATACATACCTTTTCAAGCATTCTGACCAGATAACAATGACAACAAGAACGCCACTGCTGTCGGTTAGTCGCCATATCCTTCAGTGTCTCCAACCAGCCAGTTTCAAGGTCTTTCAATAACCTGCAGGACGGTGTTCTTCAAGTCCCCTTTCCGAGAACCTCGGAATCTCTGTCAGTGTAAACTTTCCACCTCTTTAATACTGAGGGTATTCTGAATTGTGCAGTGTGAAATTAGTCGAGCAAGTGAATGTGCACCTAGTTTGTTTTAGGGTACACAATGAGATTCGATTGGTAAGAAAGAATGGAATTGCGAGGACAAGAAGTACAGGAATAAGAAGGACTGAAAAGCTAGTTTGTTTGTGGACACGGCTCTCTCTCTCTTTGCATGCGCACGAACAACATGAAACGTCTGTAAGTGCAGAAGAGGCAAATTCGTTAGAGATGCGTCCATGTGTTTCTATTGACAAACAGTTAACTTTTGTAGCACAGAAATCATTTTTAGTCTAAGAGGGAAAATGCTAGTCTTCCATCCTTACGAAACGTTTCTTGGACTACCAGAGATTCGGGTTTTTAGGCTAGAGAAACTTGGCATAGCGTGATTGTTAGCAAGGAGTGAAGAAAAGACGATTGTTAGAGACCGGTATGGTTCACCAGAATGTAGTGAAAAAGACCTTGACATTTGGAGTTGTTCAGACTAAAAGAGCGAGATGTGGACCACGTGAGGACTTCATCACTCTTGCTCTCTTTGGGCTTCAGAAAATTCGATAAGGCATGAAAGTTCACGCTAAGTAAAACACATTATCTGTGTATTTGCGTTCAATAAAGACAGAACCGATAGGAGGTTTACTAATACATAGTGAAAAGAGATACACGGAAAGAATGACATATTGTGGCACCCGTGAGTTGAAAAGGAGAGACGCAGGATATTTACCATGGTTCTATATGAGATAAGTACGACCACTGAAATTATCACTTGTGATTTAGCAAACGTCTGGATTTACACCTGAAAATAAATCCAGCAAACTAGGTCTATCGGGGCATCCCAAAGCATTAATGTAGTCAAAGAATATCAGGCACACTGTGTTACACTGCCTATCCAGTGTACCAATTAGGCAACGGCATTCAGTGTGTAGCGTGATTTTGTCTGTACGCAAACCGGTATCTGTCATCCATCCATCCATCCAGCCTCAGAAACATTCCGGAGGCGGAGAAATCTCCTAAACGTGTTTCACATCACAAGCTCGTGCCTTGGGACTGGAGTCAGTCGAAAGGCGGGGGCTCTCCAAATGTCAGGAATCTTATCGCTGGACAGACAAGAGTTGAAGTTATTCGTTAAGGGAATCAGCACACCCGTTGAGTTCAACAAGAGACGGACGATCAGGCTCACCAGCTGTGTGCAGACATGTAGAGGTAGGGTACGGTTGGGACATATTTCGTGGAAGAACTATAGATTCAGCAGTTTAGAACAATAGTGCTTTGTTTTTTTCCACCGACAACCTTTCTGTCTACAAACAGAATCAACAAGCTGTTGGTTATATAAACCTTTTATCCATCTCGATCACACTGTGGTAGTTTGCATAATCTTCGATTTCATCATTTCTCATGTAATTTACCGATTCCGTGCTGACCGTATTTCGTCCTAAACCAAATTGAACATGTTACTCACTCCTTAGCGGTACACTGTCATCCCTAACCTTCTCCCGTCTTGACAAACTATTTGTAGCCCAACGGATGTAAAGTCCCTTCCCGGTCTGAATTTGGAGATTTTCGGCTTCCTTCACCTCAGTGATTTGAGCAATCCACCCGTGGCCAGTCGGCACCAGGTTCGTGTGGCTTCCGGTGAGTTGGTTTGTTTCGGGTATTGCATTATTCCTCGGGAACTTCATATGTGATCAGTGCGCATAGGTTTTTCCACGGATCGATAAAATTCGACCAAATCAAAGTCGGTCTGTGTGTTTTCGAATGGGTCAAGGTTTCCAGTGACGGTAAATATGACTGAACTCGGCCTAGAACCCACCTCAGTCACGAGTCTGGNGAAAATTCAAACGAATAAATTATTTCACTTGTCTCAACTATTCTCCCAGACTGCTACTAATTTGATCAAGGCTGCCTGCAAACTTCTCGCCGGCATCATACTCTGTCAATTATCTGCCGCACGTGAAGAGTGCACACTTGAGAGCCAGGCTGGTTTTAGACCCGATCGAGGTTGTATCGACCACATCTTCACCCTTCATCAAATTCTAGTATACAAACACTCCTTTCGTAGACCCACCATTTCTATCTTCCTCGATCTGAAAACAGCTTTCGACTCAGTCGACCGCTCTAAACTCTGGTGCTGCGTTTCCCTGAAGGGTGTACCCAAGAAGTTTATTTCAATATTACGATCCCTCTGCTCATAGCCAAAGTCGAACCCGGGCCTACGGCAGTTTCTTGCCCGATTTCACCACGTAAAGTGGTGTTCCTCAGGGTTGCCGTCTCTCCGCTTCCATTTAATTTTGTCATAGATTTAATTATGGAAACAGCCCTATCCTCGTGCGAGGATATACGAGGTATGCGTTTTGTACCTTAAAAGTGTAATATTTCGCTACAAGATTGGGTTGGTCCCTCCCCCAACCTCACCCTGACTGGGGAAGTAGTAGAGAAAGTAAACATTCTGCTATTTGGGCACCTACATACCACCCGGTGGACGTATCACGGATGAAGTGTCAGCTCGTATATAGAAGGTTCGGTTGGCATTGGCCAACTTGATACATCTGTGGCACCGTCGCGACATTCGGTTGTCTGTGAAGGGTTGATTATATGCTGCAACAGTTCGACCAGTGCTTTTTTATGGTGCAGAGACTTGTCCATTGCGGGAACAGGATTAAAATAGATTGTCGGTGTTCGAACACTGCTGTACGCCGCATTGCACGAGTCTGGTGGGGTAACCGGACGAGCAATGATGAGATTAGGCGTAGAGTCTTAGGTAGTTGCGGTCGTCCACTGGAGCAAGTAGTTGACCTTCATAGATTAAGGTGGTTGGGACATGTGTTGCGCATGCCAGTTAATGTATCTCCCTTTCCTCTGTGTTTAAACTGACCAAAACTCCATTTTCCTGGTGAATTGGTCCAAGCGATCAATTATTTCTTCCGCATAGATCTTTTCAGTAAGCAGTCATCGAGGTATTTAAATCATTCTATTAGTGTTTGTTGCGCAGTGTTCATCAGTCGAAATTTCTCACAGCAATGCACGACTTTGACCCGAAGCTTCTATTCGTCCTCGGTTCTCGGAATATGAACCGTGGTTCTTATTTAAAATCTGATATACAAAAAATCATGCTGTGTTCCTTTACTGGATTCTCTGTTCAAAAAGGTTTTCCCGTTAACAGCATATACAAGTTCACAATCTGTGAAATATAGTTCGGTCACTCTCCCCTACACCCACCCCCTGAGGACGACACATTGGTAGTTCGAGTCCTGTCCAAAGAAGAACAAAACAGCAGTGTCGAGTGCTGCTTGCCGGCCACCACACGCTTTTGAGATCAAACAAAATCTCTATCAAAAATTTCACTGAAATGCTTTTCACCCCCAACCCGCTCCTTTTCTGTCTCTCCCATCATTTTGTTAAATCTGTTTCACAGACGCGGAGGATAAGACTTTTCTCTCACTCCTGTTGACTGCCATGCAGAATACAAAAACCGTCGCAATGTGCAGTCTGTTCATTCACGAGGCTACAGGTTCCCACAAACCGTCCGGACCGAGTCCACGACTGTGGCATCATGGTTTTGTGCATCATTACGACCAGAAACTATCCGTCTTGTTACTATCCGTTTTTCACGAAAGTACGTTCTCGTGTTGCACTCTCTCTCTCTCTGATTCTGTTGGTAGTTAAAACCTTTTACAATGTGAATTGTCGTGAACTGTCAAATACTGTAGCAGAACTGTTAGCTGCTGGGTTTTTGTAATCATAGCGAATAAGTGTAGTACGAGATTTCAAACTACGCGTTTTTCACTTGTTAATAAATCAGGATGTACATAATGGAATTTTCAAATGATTCTAGATTGAAGTGCCTAAGCAAACAGATAACATACGATTTTCAGGATAGCTCTCCGGTTTAGTGTGAGACCCAGTAGATGGGCCTTACTTGCGCGCGAGTTAATTCGGAATGAATATTTCTTCCTCGGTCGTTCTTCGGCTGGTCGGTTTGTTTATCAGCAGACTGCCACATTCCAGTCATCATCGTACAGCAAAATCAAATTCCACTGATCGCTGCTGAGCGCAAACTAAACCAATTAAGAATAAATACATATGTTAGGGATTTCAGTTTCAGTTTGGTCAACGCATAATCATACACTTTCGTGCGCCGGTTTTGGTTACTGTCT